TGCGCGTCAGCCAAACGTCAGTAATTGGCGTAACGATATAATCACCGTCAGGAACGGGAGGGGTCGATGACAAAGACACGTACGTGACAGCTCGAGGCGGCAGGCGAACGAAAGTGGTTGGGCTCAAGCGGCTGCTGAGCTTTGCAGAGTAGTCGGCAAAGATTCGTAGATCAAGGCTGAGGGTACCAGACGAACAATCAATTAAGGCCGAGTGTGCCGAAAGGGAATCAAGGCCAAGTATGAGGTCATGAGGGCAGAAGGCTAGCACGGCAAAAAGGACCACGGCGTGACGACCGGCAATGCTGACACGAGCAGTGCACATTCCGATTACTGGTACAGTACCGCCATCGGCAACACGTATTGCCTGCGTCGTGGATGGCGTCATAATCTTTTGTAAGCGGCAGCGTATAGAAGCGCTCATAATAGACAGGTGCGCACCTGTGTCAATAAGGGCGGTCACAGGAACATGGTCGACTTGTACTTCAAGCAGGCTATGGTGCGTGGGAAGCGTCAGTAGAGGATTTTAGGCCGTCATTGGTATTGCAGATTCACCTCTATAAGCTGCAATATCTAGTTTTCCTGCTGCGGTCGTCCAGAGAAGCTCGGCGAGGAAAAGCGCCGAGGTGGCGGAGAGCGGGATTGGCGACGTAGCGGCGACGGGGAGCGAGAGCTGCGGCGACCGGACGAAAGGGCGTAAGGGTAGCGGCGACCGGGCAAAGGGGCGTCAGTGGAAGGCTCGTAAGATGACGAATAGAAATTGAAGGGTGCGGCGACTGAACGTCGAGGGGTCGTCGGATGCATGAGCGCCGAGGTAGAGAAAGTCTGACGTGGTTGGTTTGACCAACGGCAGCGGCAATAGCGAGAAACGTGCCCAGGCTGGTGGCAGGAAAAACAAATGGGCCGGTCGTTGGGTGTTCGCCATTCCGAAGGGTTACGGAAGGGCATTGTTGGAGGTGAACGGCGAGCGTGTCCTCGGGAGTAGGACGGGACTTCAGGGCGAGTCAAGGGACATGCTGATGGAAGGTCAAGGTTCGCAAACTCCTGCCTCACCACAGCTTGTATTAACGCCACTGATGGCTGTTGTTGGTCAAAGGCGAGCGTTGCGAAAACGGGTGGCTGAAGAGGAGCCGGACAGGCGGCTTCGATTTCCCGACGAACAATGCGTGTGACATTGTCATACGTGGGGGACTGGCGGGCGGCTTCACACGATGAGGTTGCGGCCGTATTGGGCAGCCGGGTGAATCGCTCAGTAATACGGCGGCTCTTGGCTTCTTCGAACCGCCGGCACTCTTTAATGATGGCGTGGATGGTGGCAACGTTGTTGTAAACTAGAAAATTAAATGCGTCGTCTGCTATGCATTTCCGCACATGGGCCACTTTCTCAGACTCACTCATGTGCTCGTCAATCTGGCGGCATAGGGCGATGACGTCGTGAATGTACGCGACGTACGACTCCGTCGACGTCTGTGCACGAGCCGCCGGTTGATTCCGCGCTGCCATCTGCCGCCCAACGGTGTCGCCAAAAAGGTCGCGGATCTTCTCTTTAAAGGAGTCCCAGCTCGTAATCTCCGCTTCGTGCATCTCGAACCACACTCGCGGTGGGCCATCGAGGTAAAAAAGCACATTGGCAAGCATAAGAGTCGGGTCCCACCTATAGCTTGCGCTGACCCGTTCGTACTGGTTGATCCATTTGTCGACGTCAACGCCATCCTGACCGGAAAATACACCGGGATCACGAGCAGGAGGTAGAACGACGTATGTAGAAGTCACGGCAGGGGCAGGTGGTGAAGACGATGGTTCTTCAACCTGTGACATGGTTGGACCTATGATGATGCGGCCGTTGCGGAGCTTCGTGATGAAGACGGGGAAGTACCCAGCACGTCCACCACAAAGATGTTACGTAAAAATGACACGGGTACTCGGCTGCTGACCCGCAGGTCGCGGGTTCGATTCCCGGCTGCGGCGGCTGCATTTCCGATGGAGGCGGAAATGTTGTAGGCCCGTGTGCTCAGATTTGGGCGCACGTTAAAGAACCCCAGGTGGTCTAAATTTCCGGAGCCCTCCACTACGGCGTCTCTCATAATCATATGGTGGTTTTGGGACGTTAAACCCCACAAATCAATCAATAAAAATGACACGAGGCGTGTCTATTTAAAATCTAGATTCAAACTGATGCGTATGGCGTCGACTAAGATGGAATTGTTGTTGTTGTTGTTTTCCTGTGCAAATGGCTCGTACCCAAAAGAAGGGGATTGGCCGATTATAAGGTGAATTTGCCCTAAACTTTCAGCATTGCGTCATTCCTACATTTTTTTTGTAACTTTAATTTTGATGGAATACAGCACGTACAACCGACAGACCACTTCCTCGTTGTCGTCTTCTGACCGCTGATACGTCAGCTACGTAGCAATATTGTTATGAAAGATGCCGTAGTGGAGGGCTCCGGAAAATTTTGACCACCTGGGGTTCTTTAACATGCACCCAAATATTAGCACACGGGCCTATACAGCATTTTCGCCTCCATCGAAAATTTTGCCACTGTCGCCGGTATTCGATCCCACGGCCTGCGGGTCAGCAGCCGAGTACCTTAGCCACCATAGACCACCACGGCGGGGCAAAAGACGGAAACCTGAGGAGTGGTTGAAATAATTCCGGCTGCTTTGGGCATCCGCCTTTACACGTCAACGCGTTCTGGAGTGAAACCGGCAGAATGAAGGACAACCCATGTCGGAGTGGTTGGTTGTAGATTGTTCACTGCAGAGTGAAAGGGGCTATATAATGTAAGTAATGTGTGTAGATAATGTATATAAAGAATGTGTCATTGCCCACTTTCCTATTTACTCAAAATTGGTGGGAAGAAAAAATAACTGGGACAGTCATAAACTTTTTCCCTGCAAGGTTGATAGGATACATCTATAGCCGCGATAAAATCCAGGCTCGTTTTATGTTCGTGTGTGCGGAGGGCAGCAGCACATAATTTCTCTGGGGTGACCAGGGGCGTAGCCAGGTGGTGGCACAACCGGCCTGTTCACTCCACCCCATTTTTTTTTCACCATGACATACAGAGCGAAAAATGACCGTTTCAAATAGATGCCCCTCTGCCTGAAATCAAAAAGTGCCCCCCCCCTCCCCCCCAAAAAAAATTTCTGGCTACGTCTCTGAGGGTGACGTCACGTATCAGCAATTCACATATTTTCGCAACGTGATTTGGACATTGGCAACGTGCATAAACCTGCGCAGGGTTTTAAATTTGGGGGGGGGGGGGGGCAAAGTTTCAGTGTCAAAGCCTTTTCGCTTCCCCTGTTGGATGAGTGCCAAGGAGAACAAGCCTCACGATAGATCCAAAAATGAAAAGTGAAGCCTTTATGTGCTAATCACGATGACTTATTGCCCTTAGTTGCCGGATGTTTGGGGGTAAATGTTAGAATTAGAATTCAACATCGGGGCCTTCGGCCGCCATAGTCAACAAATACCTGCATGATCATAATACTGGACGTCAACGTGCGATGGGACAGGTCCCGCTGAGCGAATATATGGGGGCTCACTTTGCGTTTCCGTAGGTCATGATGAGAGCTGTAGCGCAAGATGGGGACACGAGGACGAGTGCTACTTCTAATTGGGATTATTATGCAAATCACCGAGTCATCCTTCGTATACCACCAATCTGCGCTGAAGCCTTCATCATATACCAACCAACACGAGCCGCCAGTCCCCCGTTGGTGATCAGGGAGGACTTTATCCCCCTTTTATCAACGAAGCTGTTTAAGTCAGCGGTAAGGTATACAGCGGTGCGTACAAAAAAAAACTATCACCATCATTAACGGTGATATCCCACTACTCACAACTGGTCCACTAAGAACAAAGAAGGTAACAGATGGGCGGCAAACACCAATTAGGATTTCTAGACAAGACGTAACCAATAACCGAGAAAAGTTTGAATGAACCGTACGGATTAGTCCAGTGATTACCACCATGGCCGCACGTTTCAGCTTCGGTCAAGCATCAAAACGAAGTTTTTTAGCGGTACTTATACAACGAGATAATATTAGGAAATATTCGGCAACGGCGGCTGCAAGAAGACGCCGAAGCGATGGAAGCCCTACGGGAAGACGACGTGCCGTAGATTTATGAGGGGGGCGAACGCTCGGTTTCGGATAGAGTTTCTATCTTTGGAGCTCGGACATCCGTGTCGTGTGTGTGACTGTAGTTTAACTGTAATCTTTATCTGCGCTGAGAACTCACCCAATAAAAAAAAACTTAGCATCACCTGGCTAAAGCTTAGCAACAGCCTAGAAGCAGCCACATTCGACTTCAGGATCGACCAATTTCGCTGTTCTCAGCCTTGCAAGTGCAAGCGCCGCCATTTTTTCCCCTCTCCTGTGTGCACGCATGTGCAAGCAGTATACGTGCTTATATGTAGGATGTTTCTTTTTGCCATTCATGGGGTTTATATAGCACTTGGGAAGACGAGGACGGAGAAGGGCGTGACAAACACGCTGTCCTGACACACACGTTCAGTCCAGCTGAGACCCTAGACAGGATCCCTGGAGCACGCGTCATTTCGATTTGCCGATGTAATCGCCTAGTCAACAATGAGAAGATCCCAACCGAAACTGTCATTGCGACATCTGTGGGCACAACATGCCCGTCTGAAATGGAGTTACGGTTATTGATCTTTCGCATAGAGCCCTTCACTTCTCGTCCGATTCAGTGCCAAACTGCTGAATATTCGGACAGAGTGCGGGAGGATGTAAGTCGAACCTCCGTTAGCGGCCCACCGTTATTTTACAACAGCATATTATTTCACAAAACCACTCAATTCTTGGCCAATATCCCCCGCAGTGGGTATGCGTCACGAGCAATAAGTGAACAATGTTAAGAACAAGAACTGTCCTTCTTGCACGTTGCCCCATGCTCTGTAAGTCTCATAACGTCTTAGCAGCAAGCCCAAAGCGCTACGTTACTGCTCGCACCCACCGCTACGAAGGACGGCGTGCGAGATGCGCAGGTGTCCGGCCGCGTCGTCCAGCTCGAGTCCGCGCGACGGTGTTCCGTCGCCGTGCCCGTGCGACTCGTCCTCGCCGCGGCTGCTGTCCAAGTTCCGCCAGCGCCGCCACAAGGCCAACGCACGCGAGCGCCAGCGCATGCACGGCCTGAACGCGGCGCTGGACATGCTGAGGCGCCGCGTGCCCATCAACCACCAGGAGTCGGGCAGCGTGGTGCCCCGCCTCTCCAAGATCGAGACCCTGCGGCTGGCCAAGAACTACATCGGCGCTCTGGCCGAGACGCTGCGACAGGGCAGTCCCATGGAGGCCACTGTGTTTGCCCGCCACCTGGCCAAGGGACTCTCGCAGGTCGGTGCTCTTAGTCATAGCACTGCCTCCTTTCACTGGTCGTATCATCATCATCATCATCATCATCATCAGCCTGACTAGGTCCACTGCAGGACAAAGGCCTCTCCCATGTTCCGCCAGTTAACCCGGTCCTGTGCTTGCTGCTGCCAATTTATACCCGCAAACTTCTTAATCTCGTCTGCCCACCTAACTTTGTCTCCCCCTAACCCGCTTCCCTTCTCTGGGAATCCAGTTAATTACCCTTAATGACCAGCGGTTATCCTGTCTACGCGCTACATGCCCGGCCCATGTCCATTTCCTCTTCTTTATTTCAACTATGATATCCTTAACCCCCGTTTGTCCCCTAATCCACTCTGCTCTCTTCTTGTCTCTTAAGATTACACCTACCATTTTTCTTTCCATTGCTCGCTGCGTCGTCCTCAATTTAAGCTGAACCCTCCTTGTAAGTCTCCAGGTTTCTGCTCCGTAGCTAAGTACCGGCAAGATACAGCTGTTATATACCTTCCTCTTGAGGGATAGTGGCAATCTACCTGTCATAATTTGAGAGTGCTTGCCGATTGTACTCCACCCCATTCTTATTCTTCTAGTTACTTCAATCTCGTGGTTAGGCTCTGCGGTTGTTACCTGCCCTAAGTAGACATAGTCTTTTACAACTTCAAGTGCACTATTACCTATCTTGAAGCGCTGCTCCTTTCCGAGGTTGTTGTACATTACTTTCGTTTTCTGCAGATTAATTTTAAGACCCACCTTTCTGCTCTCCTTGTCTAACTCCGTAATCATGAGTTGTAATTCGTCCCCTAAGTTACTCAGCAATGCAATGTCATCGGCGAAGCGCAGGTTACTAAGGTATTCTCCATTAACTCTTATCCCTAACTATTCCCATTCTAGGCTTCTGAAAAACTCTTGTAAGCACGCGGTAAATAGCATTGGGGAGATTGTGTCCCCCTGCCTTACACCCTTCTTGATTGGTATTCTGTTGCTTTCTTTATGAAGCACTATGGTAGCAGTTGATCCCCTGTAGATTTCTTCCAGAACGTTTATATATACGTCATCTACGCCCTGATTCCGCAGTGTCTGCATCACGGCTGATATTTCTACTGAATCAAACGCCTTCTCGTAATCTATGAGGGCTATGTATAGTGGTTGGTTATACTCTGAGCATTTCTCTATTACCTGATTGATAGCATGAATGTGGTCAATTGTTGAGTAGCCTGTTCGAAATCCCGCTTGTTCATTTTGTTGATTGAATTCTAATGTTTTCTTTACTCTGTTAGCAATTACCTTTGTAAATAGCTTGTATACTACAGAGAGCAAGCTGATCGGCCTGTAATTCTTCAAGTCCTTGTCATCTCCTTTCTTATGTATTAAGATGATGTTAGCGTTCTTCCAAGACTCTAGTACCCTTCCCGTCAGGAGACACCTCGTAAACAGGGTGGCTAGTTTTTCTAACACAATCTGTCCTCCATCTTTCAGCAGATCTGATGTTACCTGATCCTCACCAGCAGCTTTGCCTCTTTGCATGCTCTCCAAAGCTTTTCTGACTTCTTCTATCATTATTGGTGGGGTGTCATCTGGGTTACTGCTAGTTCTTATAGTATTAAGCTCGTGGTTTCTCGGCTAATGTACAGATCTCTGTAAAACTCCTCCGTTATTTTAACTATCCTATCCATATTGGTAGTTATTTTGCCTTCTTTGTCCCTTAGTGCATACATCCGACTTTTGCCTATCCCAAGTTTCCTCTTCACTGCTTTGACGCTTCCTCCGTTTTTGAGAGCGTGTTCAATTCTCTCCATGTTATACCTTCTTACATCGCATACTTTACGCCTATTATTCAACTTCGAAAGCTCTGCCAGTTCTATTTTGTCTGTTGTACTTGAAACTTTCATACTTTGACGCTTCTTAATTAGGTTCTTCGTTTTTTGGGAAAGCTTGCCAGTGTCCTGTCTAACTACCCTGCCTACAACTTCCACTGCACACTCCGTAATGATACTCGTTAGATTATCATTCATTGTATCTACGCTAAGGTTGGTTTCCTCACTAAGAGCCGAGTACCTGTTCTGCAGCGACACTCTGAATTCCTGTACTTTCCCTCTCAGTGATAGCTCATTGATTGGCTTCTTGCGTATCAGTTTCTGTCGTTCCTTCTTCAAGTCTAGGCGAATTCGAGACCGTACCATTTTATGGTCACTGCATCGTACCTTTCCAACCACTTCCACATCCTGCACGATTCCTGGGTGTGCAGTCATTAAAAAGTCTATTTCGTTCTTATTTTCGCCATTAGGGCTCCTCCATGTCCATTTGCGGTTTTCTCGTTTTCGGCAGAAAGTATTCAAAATCCGCAAATTATTGCGTTCTGCGAATTCTACTAGTAGCTATCCTCTGGCGTTTCTAGTGCCGATGCCATAATCTCCTACTGCCTGGTCTCCAGCCTGCTTCTTCCCTACCTTTGCATTAAAGTCGCCCATCACTATAGTATACTGTGTTTTTACCTTACTCATTGCGAATTCCACGTTTTCATTGAAGCTTGCAACTGAAGTGTCATCATGGCTGGATGTAGGCGCGTAAGCCTGTACTACCTTCATCTTGTATCTTTTATTCAGTTTAATTACAATACTTACCACCCTTTCATTAATGCTATAGGGTTCCTCTATGTTGCCAGCTATGTTTCTGTGAATTAGGAACCCCACTCCCAGTTCTTTTCTGTCTGCCAAGCCCCGATAGCAAAGGACGTGCCCATTCTGTAGCACAGTGTAGGCCTCATCTGTCCTCCTAACCTCACTGAGCCCTATTATATCCCATTTAACACCCTCTAGCTCCTCGAATAGTACAGCTAGACTTCTAGATAAGGTTCTAGCGTTAAACGTTGCCAAGTTCAGGTTCCAAAGGCGGCCTGTAGTCCAGAGATTCTTAGCACCCTCTGCTGCGTTGCAGATCTGACCGCCGCCATGGTCAGTTGCTTCCCAGCTGCTGGGAACTGAGGGCCGTGAGTTATTTGACGTATGCATGTGGGAGGTAGTGGCCAGATACTGCACCAGGGTGGCCAATCCTTCTCTGGTGAGGGAGTGCATTCCCGGTGGTGGTTACCGGTGAGGCCGCACCCCAGGCCTCTTAATGCAGTTCTATCAACACGCGGATTTTTTTTTCCGGTTGGGAACTGCGCGGCACCGGGATTTGAACCACGGGCCTCTTGCATGCGAGGCGGATGCTCTAACCACTACGCCATCGCCGCACCCAGGAATCGTGCAGTATGTGGATGTGGTTGGCAAGGTCGCATAGGCATGCGCAGATTACTCTGTTAGGGGGGAGAGGGCAAATTTTATTACAACACCCCTCCCCCCCTCCACACACACATCTGATTGGTCGAATCCTAAAGGGAACAAGCTTCGCAATGGGCCCAAAGATAAAAATGAACTGATGAGGTGGTTCTTAGAATTCCTGCATTTATTTAGTACCCGCCTTTCCAGAGGTAAATGACAGAAGCAAACAGAAGTAGGATGGCATACTAGGACGAGTTCGTTGAAATGCACGGTACGGTTGGTGCCTGAACAATAGCGCGAAAGATAGGACCACTTGAGGAAAAACTTAGTACGACGCTGTCGCATAAAGCGTCCTATCTGTCTTCTCTTCATTAGTCTCATATCTTGAACTGTTGTACCGGTACTATGCAGCAGCAAGTACGTGAATTTAAGCATCCTCGATTGACATTATCGTCAAAAACCAACATGGCTGTAACTCTGCACTGTAAACAGTGGAGGTGCAAGTCCCACCTGAGGAAAGCTCCTTCAGTTACTAGGGTGCTACTCCCCCTCCCTCCTCCAAGTGCATGCTTTTATGTGGAAGCACTTTTACCGCCCCTTTTGAAATTTCGGGGATGTCAGGAAAGAACACAAGGTTTCAGTGGGACTCTGTGGGGCGAATGGGTAGTCATGATAACGCAACAAGTAATGAAGGATTCGGCAATGGTCCTGCGGGATATGAATAGCACCGCATGGTTAGTACCCTGCACCTGTCTAGGATATGTCAACTTGCAGTTTGAGCATGTATGGAAAGACCTCAGTCAAATTTTATTAGTTTCCGCAATCGAGAGACTTGGCGACACCAAAGGAACTCCAAACACTGTTGAATGATACAATATCACATCTAACAAGACAGCCAATGTACATAGGTTGACACTACTACTTTGCCAGGCAGAGCTAAACCATCTCTCGCTTTGTAAAGTGCGCCTGTCTGAAGCTGTCTCGCTAGCGGTGCGCCTTCATTGTGCGTCGACTTAAAAGATCACGGCCACCCCGCCGCGGTGGTATAGTGGCTAATGTACTCGGCTGCTGACCCACAGGTCGCGGGATCGAATCCCAGCTGCGGCAGCTGCATTTTTGATGTAGGCTCGTGTTCTGAGATTTCAGTGCAAGTAGGTATACTCCAGGGTGTCAAAATCTCCGGAGCCCTCCACTATACGGCGTCTCGCATAATCATATGGTGGTTTTGGGACGCTAAGCTTCACGACGATAATTATAGCGCGAGAACAAAACGACGACACAGAGACAAGAAGGACACGAAAGACACGTCTCTGTGTCGTCGTTTTGTTCTCGCGCTATAACTATCGTCATGCCATACCAACTAGCCCAAGCTGCCACACTGCTAAACCTCACGTAGCAACCAAAAAATCACGGCCTATAGAGCTTGATGGGCTTTGCTGTTTATCATATCTGCAAGACGGGCAAGATCCGGCCACCCGCGTTTCTTGTCCTGCGATGAAGATGACTTTGATGATGACCGCTGTAGACACGTTGTGCACAGCGTCGAATAGAATCGTCGGTACATATTAATTGAAGGTTACTTGTGGTGTTATACGTGAAAAACTCAGGGCATGGTTATGAGTCGTCCAGTAGTGGGGACAGTGGGTAATTTCGGCTCCTTTTAGCCTATAGTTGGACGTATATGCACGGCTAGGCGGGTAGCCAGAAATTTTTCTCCTGGGCTGGTCAATAACATTTGTAACT